ATGGCTGTAATCCGATAGCGTGTCTTGCGTTTAATGAGAAATCTTGATTGTACGAGGCGCTGGGGAAACCTCACAGGCAAATCGGTCTTCCTCGGTGGAGAATTTCTCCGTCGAGGCTGGGTGGGGTGGATCATCTCCCCCCCTAACTATTTTCCCCGTTCGTGAGGAGTGGGGAGGGACGGGGAAGGGGAAGGGGGAGGGGGGCGGCAATGTCAGGGGAATGGACATGCGAGAGGTTCAGGGGGAAGGGTCCTTGCTTTTGTTTCTTGTTTTTGTTGTGGTTTTGGTTGTTGTTGGTGGATAAGGGGGGTTAGTGGGGATAGTTATTCCTTCTTTGATTTTAGGGGTTATCTTTAGGTCGTTAGGTCTCGATGGGAATTAGAAAAAAAAAAGTTTTCTGCTTTTCATTTCAAGACTTGTCATTCTGTGAGATTAGGGATTCCCACCTTCATTTCAGTTCATTTTTAGGTCTTGCTGCTCCGCGGAATTAGAGACAGGCCTACCAGCTTTCGCTCGAGGATTTTCATTTTGTGTTTTGCCGTGTGAAATGAGAAATTCCTGCCTTCGTTCTTGGTCTCATTCGGTCGCAGGAACCCATGGCTCTTGGCATGTCTGATTTCGCAGTTCGCCCGCGTTGGAGACAACCAAACTCTTATTTATCAAAAGCGCGTCTCTCTGTGTATCAGTCCTTGAGTGCCACAAGGACTGGCTCCATCTTACTGAAATCATTGTAACCAGATGTCATTCCGTGCCGCACTTCGCTCCCGGGCTCATAACACGCTCCATGAGTCGGCTCAGTAATTCGTCGGTCGGTCTTGTGTTAAATTTGCCAGCTGCCGAGTTTCGCCCCCCCCCCCCCCCCCCCCACGCGCACACACGCACTCTCGTTCGGAAGTCCTGGCACCTCCCGAGGTCCTTACTGCCGGATAATCCGGGTCCCGCGAAGAACCTGTGCCTTTCTCCCTCTTTCTCTCTCTCTCTCCCTCCCTCCCTCCCTCCCTCCCTCCCTCTCTTCCTCTTTTCCTCCCCTCCTCCCTCCTTCTTTCCTTTCATCCATTTATCCCTCTCTCTCTCTTCTTCTCTCCCTCCTTCCCTCCCTCCCACTGATAAGGTCAAAGGTCACGCATTCCGCAGTGTCCGTTGCCGACGTCGGGGCTGTTAACGACGGGTATTTCGGTGTCTCAGGTTGCCACATTTGCAACATCTGCAACACTGGGATCCTTCTGTGCCGCGGTACTCGGTGATATAGAGCCGCCTGATGCTGCCGCGGCTCCGAAAGCAAGGGTTTGAGGGAGATGCCGGCGGCGGCTTCATCGCCGGGGGCGCTTCTGCTTTGTCGACGTCTGCGGTCAAGTGGGTCCCGCCGTCCATGCCCGTGTGTGTGTGTGTGTGTTGTGTGTGTGTGTGTGTGTGTGTGTGTGTGTGTGTGCAATCAGGTATGGAGGGGTAGGGGATGTGGGGTTAGAGGGGTGGATGGGGAACGAGCATCAGGTGGAGTGGAAAACGGCAGGTCCCGATCGAGCCCGCCTCCACCGCTTGGCCACAAAGGACCTCCAATCCGCGTGTTCAATCAACTCTCAACACAATTTGTTACTCGCACACACATAGGCCGGGGGGAAGGGGGAGGGGGAAGGGGTTGACAACAATTCTCGGGTAGAGTAGCAAAACAGGGCGGTGGGTGGGATGGGGGGAGGGGGAGCGGAGGCGGAAATGGCCGTGTAGATCGCCACAGGATGGGTTTCGGTGCGATAAATCTTGGTAGTTGTTTTAAGTGGAGTGCCAGGGAGAGAGAGAGAGAGGGAGGGAGGAGGGAGGAGGGAGGGAGGGAGGGAGGGAGGGAGGGAGGGAGGGAGGGAGGGAGGGTAGGGATAGGAATGGAATGACGATTAAAATAAAAGCTCTCTCTTTCTCTCTTTGTCTCTCTCTCTCTCTCTCTCTCTCTCTCTCTCTCTCTCTCTCTCTCTCTCTCTCTCTCTCTCTCTCTCTCTCTCTCTCTCTCCTTCCCTCTTCCCTCTCTCTCCCTCTTACCTCTCTCTCTCCTTCCCCTCTTACCTCTCTCTCTCCTTCCCCTCTTCCCTCTCTCTCCCCTCTTACCTCTCTCTCTCCTTCCCTCTTCCCTCTCTCTCCCCTCCTCCCTCTCTCTCCACTCCTCTCTCTCTCTCTCCCTCCTCCCCCTCTCTCTCTACCTCCTCCCCCTCTCTCTCTCCTTCTCCCCCTCTCTCTCCTTCTCCCCCTTTCTTCCCTTCTCCCCCTCTCTCTCCTTCTCCCCCTCTCTCTCCTCCATCTCTCTCTCTCTCTTCAACAAGTCGATTTTATGAACCAACAAACAAATTTCCCATTTTCATCCGATAATTGAAAGACTAGTGTGCCTGTGAATGCAACAAGATTACGAAAAGTTGATTTTTAGCTTCGTCGATATGAGTAGCTGTACTTTTTCGCAGGAGTCAGTTTGGAGTCTCAAACTTTCACCAAAAAAAATCTACCTTAGTAGCCCTCAATTCTACTTTAGCGGACCCAAAATCTACCTTTGCGAACCCCCAAAGAACCCCCAGACTCTAGGAAACCACCGATATGATTTCGTTACCCTGATTTTTTTTAACCGTCAAGTTTCAAAATTAAGAAAGAAAATGGCATTATAAGTCTTCGTGGAAAGATTTTTTGCAAGAATCGGTTTAGCGGATAAAGTATAGGATTTCAATAGATATGTGGAGGACCGTGTTCAATCCCCGATATGCTTGACTATTTTTGTTGTTTAATATGAAGGTAGAAATGCGAACGATAAAACAGATGTTGCAAAATATATAGCGTACTTGCATGCACATGTTCCTTTTTTTCATTTTTTTCCTTCTTTGGCAAAATATATAGCATATATAAATGCACATGTCCTTCTTCTAATTCTTTTTCTTTCTTTGTTTCCTTTTTCTCCTCCTTCTTCTTTTTCTCTTTTGGTTTTGAGTTAGGTCTTACCGTTGTGTTCTTATCTGGACATTTCTTGTACTATTTTTTGTGATAAAGCGGACAGATATTCCTGGGCTGAAAAGGGTGTTTGTTCATGCGTGTGAGTCCGTTCCTCTTTCTTTTGCGATTTGCCTTTGTGCGGATTATCTCGTGTGGATATGCTCGGGTAGCCAGTTTGTGGATAAGCTTGGGTAGCGTGTTTGTAGGTAAGCTTGGATGACATGTTTGTGGGTAACCTCATGTGGATGAACTTGCGTAATATCGCATGGATAAGCTTAGATAACGTGTTTGTGAGTAACCACATGTGGATAAACTTGGATAACCTCGTGTGGATAAACTTGAATAGTGGCTCTTCTGTGTGTTCTTTCCCCTGCCCCCCTTCCTTTAACCATCTATTCTCTTTCACTCCCCTTCTCTTCCTTCTTCCTCTCCCGCCTCCTCTCCCACTTAAGCACTGTTAGGATTCAATGGCATGTGTGATGTTTGTATTGATGATGATGGTGATAATAATGATAATTCTGATGATGACGATGATAGTGAAGTATCGGTAATAATAATAATGATAAATAATATTGCTAATGATAATAATAATAACGGTAATGGTAATGTTGATTGTGATAATGATAATAATAGCAAAAGAAACATGATAATAATGATGATCATTTTATACAGTTCTGTGGGTTGACAAAGGAAGTGTCACGAGAGGTTGTACGGTGTCTCTTTTATTTATGCTTTTATGCTGTGGTGTTCAGAGGATAAGGACTTTTCTGAAGGTTCTGTTTAGGTTCTGTTATGGGGGGGGGGGGTATGTAGGTCCTTTTGGGGGGTAGGTTAATTTCGGGTATTTGATCTTTCTGTCCTTTTTTATGCTGTTTGCTGAGTGGGGTCATTTAGGTTCTTTCGTTAGGTGGGGGAGGGGGCTATTTAGATTCTTATTTTGGGGTTCATTTGTTTCTTGCATTTATAGTCATGTAGGATTCCGTGTGTCAAGAACTGTGTGTAAAGCCGCTGTGTTTGATTCCCTGTTTGATTCGGCAACCGCAACCCCTTGTGTTTGTTCTGCGCGTCTGTGGACTGGGGCGGTCTCCGTCTTGTGGTATGCATTTTTGTCTCCTTTTGCTACGCGTCTTTTTCATCTTTCGATTTTCTGTCTTTCTTGCCTGTTTCCCTCTCTCTTTCGTGGCATCTTCCTCCCTCCATCTCTTTCTCTTCCTTCCTTCTTTCTTCCCCCTTTTATTTTCTTGTTTGAGTCCTCTCCTTTTTTCTCTCTCTTTGCCACCTTTCTTTCCCTCCCTCCCTTCCTTCCTCCCTTCATCCATTCGTCCATTCATTCATTCATTCATTCATTCATTCATTCTATCTCTCTCCTTTTTTTTTATCCTGCTCAACCATCCCGTTCTCTCCCCTGCCCCTGCCTCCCTACACACAAAATGTGTACGATATACATATCTGCATATTAATCTCGTTATTCAACATCACAATCATTAAAACTTTTTTGCGTAATAGTTATTAATTGAATAACTGTGGTTGTTCGATTGTATTTGTCCCACCCGACCGTGCCTGATGCTCTGATCCGCCTCGCCAGCCGTGACTGTACAAGTCGTCCTTTGAATAACAAAACATACACGTTAACGATACAGCAATGGATAGGACGTGAGAGTTAGGGAGGGAGAGAGAGAGAGGGAAGGGGAGAAGGGGGTGGGGGTCGTCTCCTTTTTCTTTATGGTCTTCCCCCCTCTATCTGTTTCTCTTTCTTACTCATCTAACCTCCTCCTCTTCCTCTAAACTAGTGGACTAGCAAAGAGGAATTGAAAGGACGAAAATAATCAAATAGAGAAACATATCGACGCACAGGTTTTTTCCATATGAACCGTCGGGGTGGGGGTGGGGGGGACCTCGAGTCTCACCTCACCCCTCCTGCATCTCTTTGCATAAGTATTCACGCTGTATATTTGCAACATACAGTGTAGATACACATTTCCCAGCCTTCGACATCAGCAGGATCTTATCTGACGCGTGGCGGTCTCCCTTCCCCCCTACAG